GACAGTATTTACTGTCTCGGAACCCGAGACAGTCTTTGCTGTCTCGGCCGCCGAGACAGCAAACACTGTCTCGGGAATGGTTTTTTGCCCAGGGGTTATAAATACCCTCTGAGATTGATTTTTGAGGATCGAGCATATTTCCGAGCAATCCAGAGCAGAGGGAGAGCAGACTTGAGTTTAGTGTGATTCCTTGAGATTTGAGCTTCGACTTAATCTTAAGAAGAACGACTATCTTACTTTGATAAGATATCGTTTCAAATTTTCACTTCGATAAACGAAGGAAGAATCATTAAGCCCCCTTCACGATCTGTGATTTGGCGGTCCACGAGTCAAAGCGCTCACGACACAGGCGAAGTTCCACAAAATAGAATTCGATAAACGACTTCTGTGTTATTTTCTTAAAAGTTGTAATTTTCTCTTTGTTGTGTAAAAGAGGTCTTATAAAAAGACTATTTCTTTGAATTTGTTGTAATCAAACAAAAATATAATGAATTCCACAGCAAAACCAACTTTCGACGAAAACAAGCATATTACATGTTATGCTTATACCCTTTGTAACATTCAATTATGTTCTGAAGGTTTAAAAGTAGTGTTGCTACTTTGACTCCTTACCTAAGGCTATGATAGATTCAACCTCAAGAAAGGTGATAGGAAAAGCATCTATTTTTAGATTTAATTAGCAATAATGCAGTACGAAGATCACTAATGCATCCACTTTAGTATGTGTCTACATCTGGGGCTTCATTTTTTTGATGAAGTGTGGATCTTTCCAAATAGTTCCACAGTAGTCGAGTATGCTTCTTCAAAAATGGATTAGAAGATACTCGGACTAAAGTTGCATTTACAGTTTGATCTGGAGCATATGAGACACTGTCTACACTTACTTTTCTCAAAGGGCTTGATGTATCTATACTCGATCTTTACCAGGGTTTGTAGTGTAAATCTCGCTGATTATAGGTTTTCTCAATGATCACATGACAGAGCAACTATATGGATCTTGTGATCAATACAAAGCGTTGCAACCTACTTTCTATCAAGTGGGAGTTTGTTGTATTTGGCGTACTTTAGTGGCTGTGAATTCTACGTAAATCTAAGTTATTGTAGAGATGATATATATCTTGGATAGCTATCAAGTGGTTAATATAGATATGGTCAAGGATCTCATGATAATTTATTCTTATCAATTGAGATTTGACCATCAACCAATTGATCCTATCTCTTAGTTAAAGCTCTCCATATAAATAGGGATGGCGGCTTCATCTCTGACACACTGTTCCAAATACTCAAATTGGTAAGGGCTTGGAAGGAATTGACCAGAGGTTGTTGCATGTGTAATGGATAGTACAGGAAGTTGACCAGAGGATCCGTCTCGAAAAAATATGCAATTTTCATATATATATTTCATCCAATTCCAACTTACGGTTTGAAAAATATCACCCGTTCTTCGTGACAAGTTATTTTCCTCGACCGGGTCCACGTTTAGGTTTGTGTTTGCCCCGTTTCTCCATAAATATGTCTGCCGTGTGTTCTGCATCACCCGATGTATAATTTCTACCCTCATCTTTCAACATGGGGCATTCTGAAACCTAGTTTTGGTAACTCCTTTAGAGAAGCTTACGATCGTCTTCATTCCAATTAAAACTTCTCCTTTAGCTGGGTGTAGTAGCCAGGCCATGGACCAGATGGTATAAATATCTACGATGTACCTCCATGTTATGCTACTTAGTCCACATGGTATTTCACATACACTATTATACCATCTAGTCCATCTAGAAATGCCAAACGGAAAACCCAACTTAGCAATTGCATAGATATAACTGTGCTTTCAATGATACAATGCGGTTGTATTTTACGAAAGACGGAAGAGAAACAAACAAAATCTACAAACCATTGTTATCTATTAATTTCTTGGGGTGTCCTCTCTTCTTGCATCTCGAACAACAACAACTTGTTATCTTCACTTCCAATTGTCAGTGACCTAGATATAGCCGTCAACATTCGAATATTAGCAATCCATGGACACTTCGATCCCCTCAATATAGGCACACGACCAAACTCTTTTAGTAGATAGAAAACATGAGTTCGGGCACTTGGAGTCGCGAGGTCGAGTGCTTGGTCTCTGCCGGCCGGCTGTTTAAGGCCGCTATACTTGATTGGCATAATCTTGGCCCGGAGATTGCGCCTGGGGTCATCGTGCGTGCTAACCTCGTGTCTGGAGATGGCGGGGTAGGAAGCATCAGGGAGCTCAATTTCACATCATGTGAGTCGCTCTTAGCTCACAAGTTTTTTATGGACATCAGTTAATATCCTAAGTTTAGTGTAATTTAGTATTCGGATTTTCCAAAATTGAAATTTGTACGGAAAGATTTCGCGTGATACATATTTTAACGTGTTGTTAACCATGTAGACAGGATCAAAAAATTGATCACTTTAAAGAAAATTCTAAAATAATGCGCTTGAGTATATGATACAAGATTATAACATGTCGGAAAATCATTTCACATCCTACTATAAATGGCGATTTCTAGTAGGTCTCATCTGATGGCACGCATTTGCAATATAAAAGAAATTCAAGTTTTAGTTTACTAATGGTAACATAAACTTACATGCATAATGGTGTTGGGGAGAAATCGAGCCAAAACTAGAGTTGATGAGATTTAAATAGACGCTAGGAACTAATTTTGACTGAAAAGTTATAACTATCATGTATTAGTCTCAACTCCTATTTTAAATTCATCACTCCAGCACATGGCTAAATATCACTTCATTGTGGGCTTAACCAGACTGTTATCACTTCTATGGGCACCAGTGGGTTAACTTGACTTTGTCTTCACTGACCATAATCGACACCTTCTGGCTTCAAATTGAACTTTATCTTTCTTTTTCTTTCTTTCTTTGTTTTTTAATTATTTGGATCATAAGCTTGGCTCTGATACTATTTGTTTGGGAGAAATTGGACCCAAATTACAGTTGAGAAGCTTTAAACAGATGTTACGAATTTTAACCCAAAAACTATTAGGTATTGATCTCAATTCTTATCTTAAATCCATCACTCTTTTCTTATCCTATTTGATATGAGATTGTACTCACATGTTAATAACCTCCATGAATGGTACGAAAATATCATCTTACACTATACTGCACAATTGACTTTCTGCAGAAAGACACTTCAATTGACAAATCTAGACTGGAGTGTTTCTTTTTCTAATTCTTTCTCTTACCTTCTCCTCTTGTGCTTCTCTAACTTCTTCCACTTTCTCTTCATGTGAATATATTTATTTTTTGTAGTTAACAAATCCTCTGGCGCAGCTTCAGTGATTACACATGTTAAAAAAAAAGGAGCAAAATCGCTCTGAGATTTAAAGAAGCCCGAAATCTAGATCTTATTTGTGTTAGATTATGACTTATTATATATCAATAAATTTAGCATACTACATTGTTTGATTTTATTAAGAGTGATTTTATTAAGAGCCTTTTAAAATGGGGTTGTGTTAGGATCTTAGGTCGTCGTTGTTGGCTCAGAAACCTACTCAAGAACTCAGACCGATCTTGTTCTCTTGTGCACCACCAAGAACACAAAGGGGGAAGCTACTGTCTCTCTCAGATCTCACAAGGGGTTGAAAGCACAGAGCCTTCGAAGGAGCACAGAGCTCAGTTAGTGAAGAGGATCGCACAAAGGGAGTAAAGCACAGAGCTCAAGATCTCGACACCCACGCTCTTTCCCACACCAAGCTACTACCAACCCTTCGCCATATATAGGGAGGAGGGCAGCCATGGGACTCACAGCGGCGACCATCAGATCACAGAGATCGGAGGGGATTTAGAACCATCGGGTAGGAGAGGGAAAAGAGAGGGGCTAGGGCACATTAGATAAACAAAGGAAATGAGCCTTTTGGTAATGGGCCAAAGTTTTGGGCCAACAGAATAGCAACAATATCCACCTTTGGCCCAAGGTAGTGCACAGAAGAAAAACACGGAACTGCAGGACTCATCATCGCCAGATCATTACCTGTATGATCACAAAGAAGATACAAGCAATGGAAGATAATACACGAAGTAAACTCAGATCACAAAGATCGGGGTAAAATCACCAAGCATACCAAGTCCACAAAGGACCGAACTCTACCAAACGGTCATCGAGTTCAAAGGGGAAAAAATCACAAAGCTACTAACAAGCACAAAGCAAGTTAATAGGCCACAAAGGCAACACACAAAGCAAAAGGAAAAATTACCCAAAGTCAAAATTCAAGATTCTTTGACACGATATAAATTTTTCAGCAGGCAAACACTTAGTACCCATGTCAGCAGGATTAAATTCTGAGGAAATTTTTTCTAACTTGACAATACCCTTTTCAACTATATCCCGAATGTAATGAAATCTAACATCAATATGTTTAGTTCTATCATGAAAAACAGGATTTTTGCAAAGTTGAATAGCAGATTAACTATTAGAAAATACAACCATATTTTTATCAAGAAAACCAATTTCAGATATAAGACCCCTAAGCCAAATAGCTTCTTTAAAAGCTTTAGTGGCAGCAGCATACTCAGATTCAGTAGTAGATAAAGCAACAATGGGTTGTAATTGGGATTTTCAGCTTATACAATAGCCACACAAAGTAAACACATAGGAAGTGGTAGATTTTCTATTATCCCTATCATTGGCATAATTGGAATCTACATAGCCAGCAAGTTTGACACCTTCAGAACACTTAGAAAAGGTTAATCCTACATCCACAGAGGATTTCAAATATCTTAAAAGCCACTTCAAGGCATTCCAATGAGGCATACCAGAGTTTGCCATATATCTACTCAAGCAACTAACCGCATATGTAATGTCAGGCTTAGTACTAACCATGAGATACATGACCGATCCTATAGCATTCGAATATGGCACCTTCTTCATATCATTTATTTCAGTTTCAGTATTGGGAGATTGATCCTTACTTAACACAAAATGAGGAGCAAGAGGCACATTCACAGATTTGGCATTAGACATAGCAAATTTACTCAAAATTTTTTCAACATATTAACTTTTGTTTAAAACTAGAGTAGATTTGTTTTTGTCCCTAATAATATTCATGCCTAGGATTCTTTTAGCATCACCTAAGTCTTTCATGTCAAAATTTTCACAAAGACATTTTTTAACATGCTTAATAGACTTTAAACAAGGACTAACAATCAACATATCATCCACATAAATTACAAGAAATACAGGCACAGCGTCTATATTTTTATAATACAGGCAATGATCAGCAGAACTCCTTTAAAACTTTAAAGATTGCATGCATTTATCAAATCTAATATTCCATTGCCTAGGTGATTGTTTTAAACCATACAAAGCCTTTTTTAACAAACACACATGATCAGACAATTTAGGGTCCACAAAGCCCTCAGGTTGGTGCATATAAATATTTTTATCAAGATCATCATGCAAGAAAGCAGTAGTTACATCTATTTGTTTTAATTCCCAATTAAAATGAGCAACTAAAGCAAGCATAATTCTAACAGTAGTGAATTTGACAACAGGAGCAAAAATTTCAGCATAATCAATTCTCTCCTTTTGAGTAAATCCCTTAGCTACTAACCTAGCATTAAACCTAACACTTTCAGATTCTTGTTTCACCTTAAACAACCACTTACAGTCCACTACAGAACAACTAGCAGGTTTAGGAACAAGTTTCCATGTTTGGTTAATTCTTAGGGATTCCATCTCACTCTTCATAGCACTAATCCATTCTTCAGAATATTTTGACTTTAATGCTTCTTTATAAGTCTTAGGTTCATTGCACTCAAGGGATTCAAACACATTAAAGGCAAACTCAGACATATTACAATCAATCAAATTGCAATCTCTATATCTTTCAGGTTTCCCAATGATTCGTTTATTTCTATCCCTAGTGAGTTGATAATCATTCAAATCATGCATGTTATCTATTTCCTGCATATCATGCTCCACCTCATTAGGAATAAACTCATCTTGATTTTCAATAATTGTATCATTCAATTTTTCTTCAGAAAGTGATTTGGGTTGATTAATAATAGACATTTGCTCCACCTCATTTGGAGCATCATTTTCAGGAATAGGAACATGTAAAGGTAAACAAGGAAATTCATTTTCATTAAAGACAACGTCTCTGCTTATCACTACCTTAAACCCCGGTTCACTCTTATTCCAAAGCCTATAACCTTTTACCCCTTCAGAATATCCTAAGAAAACACATTTCTTAGATCTAGGTTCTAACTTATCAATCTTTTGATGCACATAGCCAGCACTCCCGAAAATTCTCAAATTATTTAAATCAAGAGGTTTGCCCGTGAACACAAATTCAGGGCATTTCCCTCCTAAGGGAACAGAAGGAGACCTATTAATCAAATAGGCCGCAGTACAAACAGCTTCTCCCCAGAACTTCTTGGAGAGCCCAGATGTGGCCAACATAGCCCTCACCCTCTCTAAGAGAGTTCTATTCATCCTTTCAGCAACCCCATTCTGCTGGGGTGTATAGGGAACAGATTTATGCCTTTTAATACCCCAAGTAGTACACAAATCATTCAATTGTTTGTTACAAAACTCAAGACCATTGTCTGTCCTAAGAGTTTTAATTTTCTTTCCCGTTTGGTTTTCAATCATAATTTTTCAGTTTTTAAATTTATCAAAAACTTCAGATTTTTATTTCATGAGTAAAACCCAAACTTTTCTAGAATAATCATCAATTATGAAAAGAAAATATTGGTTCCCTCCATGCGTAGGCACACTAGAGGGACCCCACACATCAGCATGCAAATATTTAAGTACACTAGTACACTTAGACTGATTAGGAAAAGAAGAAGTAGGAAAAGTAACCCTATGTTATTTTCCTAGCACACAAGATTCACAGAAAGGGATGGGGGATATTTTATCACTACCAAAGTGACCTTCTTTATGCAAAATTTCTAATCCTTTATTACTCATGTGACCTAATCTATTATGCCATAAAACAGATTTATCACCTATCATAGAGTTAACAGAATCAAGCACAGGTTCAGCATGACAAACATACAAATTATTTTGTTTTTCAGCAGTAAAAACAACAAGAGACCCTTTCAAAATTTTCATAACCTCATTTTCTAGAGATGCACAAGAAATCAAGTTATAACATAAATCAGGAACATGGCTAACATCCTTCAAAGTAAACACAGAACCAGAGGAAAACCTAAGGCATACATCACCAGTTCCTAAAACATTACATTTCTTTTCATTTGCCATTGACACAAAGTCATTCTCTATTTTCCTGTAGTTTGAAAACAAGTTTTTAAAAGGAGTCATATGAAAAGTACAACCAGAGTCTACCAACCAATCTGATTTTAAAAGGAGTCATATGAAAAGTACAACCAGAGTCTACCAACCAATCTGATTTACACAAAGGATCAGATAACACAGAGTTCAAATATGCATAATCACACAGATTATTAATCATGAAAATTTCACCCATTTTTCCCTCACAGATAGCCATATTAGCATGATCATTTTGCTGATTTTTCTTAGGCTTAGGACAGTCTTTAATAAAGTGATCAGTTTCATGATAATTATAGCATTTTTTATCTTTAAACCAAGACTTAGATCTACCCCTTCCATTTTTAAATTTTTTCTTACTTGATTCCCCATTACTAGCATTCTTTTGGTTATTAGACCTATTCTGAGGCCTACCCCTCACATGCATAACCTCACCAGAATTTTTATTTCCCCCAGAATGTTTTAAATCTAATTCCTTACTCTTGAGACCATTAACCACAATGTCAAGGGTAATATCATCTCTACTATATTTAATAGCAGATTTTACATCACTATATGAGTCAGGAATAGCATTTAGAAGGGCAATAGGAGTATAATCGTCTATATGTTTATCACCAGTTAACTTAATATCTGAAATAAGTTTTGTGAAAACGTCTAGGTTCTCCTCAATGTCCTTAGACATATCCAATCTAAATTTGAAAAATTTTTCAAGCAAAAACATTTTACTGGGCAAAGAGGTTTCAGTATAGAGTTCTTCAAGTTTATCCCAAAGGGTTTTAGCACATTCCAAAATTCTAACTTTTCTAATCACAGAGTCAGATAAGTACAAATAAATTGTGGAACAAGCATTTTCGTTCATTTCCGCCCGTTTATTTTCAGTGTCAGAAGTTAAATAAGTCTGACCAACAGCCTTAAAGGACTTCTGTTGAATTAAGATGCATTTTATTTTTTGTTTCCAAATGCTAAAATCAGATTTTCCGTTGAACGGAGCCATACCATATTGAATCATACTATATTGATTACGGACATTTTTCACACAGAAAAAACAAACAGCAAATAGCACGATGATTTCGGTAATTATCCGGCTCGAAACATGTGAAGCAACTAGCACGAACAAATGAGAAGAACGATGAACATAAAGTTCTTATTTCAATCTCTTTGTTCTTTCACACGAGCACAAATCAATTTTAGTTTCTGAAAAAATTTTCTTTAACAAAGCCAGAGATTTACTACTGAAATTTTCAACAATGCCAGTCAACAAACCCAGAGATTAAACGCAGTTACAACAAATGCCAGAAAATAACTGTAATTTTCAACAGAGACTTATCCTAACTGCAGCGAAAAAAAAACAGATATAGCTGAAAAGTCAGTTCACCTGAGCGAAAACCCTAAGGGAGGGTTTCGACCTTACCCACGCGGCGGCGGTCCGGCGAAGTCCAGCGGCGGCGACCGGCGGATTTGAACGGCGACGACTAACGCCCGATCTCTGATACCATTGTTAGGATCTTAGGTCGTCGTTGTTGGATCAGAAACCTGCTCAAGAACTCAGACCGATCTTGTTCTCTTGTGCACCACCAAGAACACAAAGGGAGGAAGCTACTGTCTCTCTCAGATCTCACAAGGGGTTGAAAGCATAGAGTCTTCGAAGGAGCACAGAGCTCAGTTAGTGAAGAGGATCGCACAAAGGGGGTAAAGCACAGAGCTCAAGATCTCGACACCCACGCTCTTTCCCACACCGAGCTACTACCAACCCTTCGCCATATATAGGGAGGGGTCAGCTGACACGGGTGAGAGGCTAGGGTAGAAAAACGAAGGAGGGAGCCGACCTACGGATGAGACTCACAGCGGCGGCCATCAGATCACAGAGATCGGAGGGGATTTAGAACCATCGGGTAGGAGAGGGAAAAGAGAGGGGCTAGGGCACATTAGATAAACAAAGGAAATGGGCCTTTTGGTAATGGGCCAAAGTTTTGGGCCAACAGAATAGCAACAGGTTGGTTTGGATTCTTAATCTCTAGCCTGCTAAGCAAATTTCTTTCTTTGCTCAATAGGCTAATTACAGATTCCTGAGGCATGTTTGTCAACTAATTACCTCAAACTAGTCTGGCAAAAAACTAGACGAGTCAACTAAACGGGTCTTATTTTTGTTCTCCTCCTCCTGATCTAGAGCTATAAACTGTTTAAGCCAAAACTAGTTTCGTGAGAGTTGCTATAAACAACTTTTAAAAACTGGTTGCTTTTAATGTCTTGCCATGTACACTTCTTTGAGTTCAATAGGCTTCATTCTCTCTTCGTTTTTAACTTAGTCAGAATCAGGTTAAATTTTGTTAGACTGTTTCTCCAGCTCAAAACAAGCTCAAATTCAATAAACCCCAAGTAGATTTGCATGCCAAATTATCTATTTCCTTTTTTCTTTTTTTTATAGGAAAAATTATCTACTTCTTAAACTTATCTCTCGTTCCTCTATCTACAGCATTGCCATATAGATACTTAAAGGAACGCTTAGATTTCATAGACCATGACAAGTTTGAGTGCACCAGCACCCTAGTCGAAGGCGGTCCATTAGGGACAAAGTTCGAGTCAGCATCGACTCACTTCAAATTTGATTCGACGAGCGATGGCGCCACCAGTTGCATCGTCAAGGTGACAGCGATCTACAAGACTCTGGCCGGGACACCGGTTTCTGATGATGTGACTAAGTCGAAGGAAATCGTTACTGGTCATCTTAAGGCTGCAGAGGCCTATCTCCTTGCAAACCCTACTGCCTATGCGGGAAATTGTGCTTCTGTCAGAGCCTAAAACTATGTTCAAATGTTTTGATGTTGGGAGTTGTAGTAAGATTGGGTGTGCGAGATTGCGAGAGCTCGTGTTGTGTGTATTATTAGGACTCACTGTCTTTTTTTTATTAGTATTTCAACTCTCATGGAGATTATAACATTGGTTAATGCTTCGCCTGAATCTCCTTTTTACGTTCACTCCATTTCATTTAATTGGATCTCTTAACGTTTTTGTTTATTTCCATACTTCATTAATGATAGCATTATTAATACCTCAAAAAGTATATTCTCTTTTCATAACCATACAAGACATTTTCGTTTTAAGAACATTAATTAAGAAGGAAATATTCTAGGGAACAGTTTGTTAAATATGAAATAAGGGGACCGGCTAAGCAGAATCCGGATGACTTTTTATTGACAATGAAGTAGAGAAAGAGCCCCTTTGTTGGGAAGTTGGCCTCTCGTCACCGTTGAGCAAACTTTGAGGAATTGATTATCTAAGCTGGCAAGTGAGTATTAGAGGGGCCGTTGCTTGGTCATGATCAAATGTCTTCCGATGTTCAAGTCAGTAATATTTTTTTAAGTATCCATTGTCTATAATATCTTTTTTTTTTGTTTTTTCTCTAGGAACAAAGGAGTCCAAGAGCAACATCTAATTTCATATTCTTACCATTGAATTGGAATTATTGTTTATTACAAGAGATAAAGAGGGATGTATATATGTTCAAGAGTTTGTCATGTTGGGTTTAAATATAATATATGTGCCAATATATTAAATAGATATGTATTATGTGCTATCAATCAATGTTAGCCCATTAAAGTAATTTGATTAAAGTTTGGGCTTTTAATGCATAATTAAAGTATGGACATCCTATGTGTAGAGACCAAAATAAAATTATTAATTCTATAATGTGCTGAATTGATAATTATGAATAACTGATAACAATTATAAATAGAGTTGTGGCTCCCCAAATCTCTACGTAGAATCTCTTTCTAATTTCCCATCTTCAGAAGGATTAGGGTTTCTCTAAGGAAGATATATACGTAGAAGATTTGGAAGATCTACATCTTAAATAACTTAAGAATCACATTCTACTCCATGGATTCAGGTATGGTTCTGCACCTTCTTAATTATTTTAATAGTTTGACATGAACATCTTGGGATTGATTAGAGTTTTATCTATTAAAGTAAAAGCTTTCTTTTGATCTAACATGTCATCATTGAGTTCCCTTGCATCTTTCTGTTTTTTTTATATCTGTATGGTGTGCGATTACTAAAAATGTAAATGTCCTAAACAAGTGAGGTTTATATTGTTATTTGGGGATACCTAGGAAATAGATGTAGTTTTCATGTCATTGGCATTGACAATTTTTCACTAACCCTAAAACATAAAAATTAAAAAAGAAAAGAAAATAATTAATTGTTTATAGTTCAAAAGTTTTAAAGTGAAAAATTTTGAACGAATGAAGTCTATTAGTCTAAGATCAACTCAAACATCTAACTTATATTATACAGTTTGAGAATACGTCTCAACAACCAATGGTTAACGGTAGCCTGATGGGGGTTTTGCTAGAATAAGTAATAATAAGATCACCATTTTAGGAAATGATGCGGAGATGAGTACTAACATTGATCCGCAAAAAGCTCAACAAGCTCTTGAATTAAAAAGCCTGTTGTGCGGGTTCCTTTACGTTACTAGGTTTTATGCATGTGTAATGCACGTGGTTAAATATCATGATTAAATATTTTTGATTTATTTCTTTACTAAAATTTGTTCCTCAGCTCCACATCGATGGTTTTTGCTCACTCATGTCTCTAAACTCTAGCACTGTGATTATTTATTTTCTCTGATCTTTGTTTAAATGAGCTACACTCAATTTAAACTTTTATGTTAATAATTGAATTCACAGGAAACAAATATAATCCAAAGCCAGCTTGAATTAGCATGTTATTTGGACCGACATTAAATCGAGCTTGACTTGAAAAAGTATAGTATTAAAAAAGTAAAAAACACTTGAAAAATAGTGTTATAAAAGGAAGGTGAATAAAAGCTAATAAGATAAGAAGATGGTTAAAAGTGGGTTAAAATGACACAAAAAAGAATATAAAGTTTGTTCCTATACCTTGATAGACTTTAAAAAAATCATAAACCAAAAATTAATTCTAACTCTAGTACACTTGTGTATCCACATAAGCATATAAAAGTACTAAAAAAATTCATAAAATTTTCTTCAAAAAATTCCTAATTTACTTAAATAATAAACTATACTATAAAATATTTAGAAAGACGTGTATTTTATTCCTTTTGCTTTTTTTTTGAGTCAGCATCAATCCTTCTCCACCTTTATCTTTTTCAAACAAATTAGGCTACACTTAGATGCTGAAAAAGGACAGTAAACTTTAAAGTGGAAGTTAAACTTATGTTGTGATGCGGTATAAACATGTACCAAAAAGGTTGCAAGTGCACAACTGTGTCAAGTTATAGTATAAAGATATTGATCCCACGAGGAAGGTGTTTTTGTAGGAGAAAATATAAAATCGGATCTTATGTTATGTGTGTGACAAATAGGAGTGATGAGTGAATGTGATTGTGGAGAGATAATGAGAGTGATAGTGTGTAGATCAATATGTTTGAGAATAAATGTGATCAATAAGGCAAGAAAGAAGAATGAATAAAATTAAGAAACAAATCAAAAATAAAATTCAAGAATAAAAAAAAATGTAAGAAATTAAAGATGGTGGATTCAATTATAGATATGGGTAATCTAAAATTGAACTCACTTCTTAGAAAATGGTGATTCCCTAGAGGGTTCTAGCCTAAATGCGAATCAAACAAAATAAAAATAAACAAAAAGAAAAACTAAACCCAAGAGGGTTCTAGCCTCAAGGTGAATAGTGTAAGAAATTAAAATCTAACTACAAAATAAATTATAAAATCTAAACTATAAAATAAATTGCAAGAATTAAATGCAAGAAAATAAATCTACTCTATAAGCATGAAATAAATCTAATCTATAAGCATAAAATAAATCTAAGGTAAGAGGGTTCTAGCCTCTTGGCTATTTAACAAGAAAATAAAATCTAATTATAAGCATAGAAATAAATCTAAACTAATAAGCAATAAAAAGAAATAAAAGAGAAAAAGAAAAGAAATGCAAACCTCTAAATAATTCTTCATCTCCATCTTCATCATCCAACAAAGATAAGAAATATTTAAAGTGGTGAAAAAATTATTATTATTAATTGTAATAAAAAGTTATAAATTTGGAAGGCCTTCTCAATTAAGAGTAGCCCTCCTCTCTAAAAGGAGTTACAAAAATTTTCACACCTCTAACCCCTCACTCTCAACCCCTATTTATAGTCAACATCAGTGAATGAGAGTCCTTGGATCAAACTTGAGCCCCAAGAATGCAATTTCGGCCGTAGATGAAATCTGGATGACTTCGCATCGATACAGGCATCGATGCCCGCATCGATGCCTGCATCGATGCTGGCATCCTGCATCGATGCTAGCATCAATGCTCTAATAAGAATTATGACTTCACGGTTAGTTTCGTCTCGTCGAGATAGGCGATTTTCATATATTATATATTAAATTCCGCCTTCCGGATTAGGAGATATCGTCAATTCTTTGTGGCCAACCATTTTGAATATGATTTCTTTTCATATTGAATTTTTGATTTTCTCCGGCTTCTATAGGCTACTCGGCTTGATTCTGGGCTTGGGCTTTTTGACTCTTACTTGTGTTCTTCATTTAATTCATGGGTTTTTGTTGAGATAAGAGATCTTGGGCTTTATTCTTCACTAACCTGCAATTAAAGATAAAAACAATTATTAATGATATATTTATTTATATAAAATAGATAATGAGGGTATAAAATTATAATAAAATATGATTATCAAATACCCCCACACCTAAACTTTTGCTAGTTCTCTAGCAAAGAAAGAAAACTAAAAGAAAACCTAACTCACTTTCGCAGGAATCGCGGTTGTATTTAGCGCATACAACAAGCCTTTAAACCCCTAGGTTACCCTAGTGGATGAGTTGTAGTTTCGTGAGGGTTTGTAGTGAATATACCCATAAAATTCGATCAACTTGCCAAATTAAAGAAGTTAGTAAATAACTAACTTTACTTGATAATTGAAGCTAATTATTACTCAAGAAAACATTTTTATATATAACTCTAAGGTAAATTTTCTAGAAAATCTTCTCATTATAGTAATACAAAACCAAGCCGAACTTAGAAATTTAATTTAAAAGTTTTGAAAAGAACATGCTAACTCTTTGTTTAAAATAATATTCAAGTTGCTTGATCTAAAATATTTTCCAAGACCATATATACAAATATAACTATATATAAAACATTTATTAGTATTTTTATTTTTATTTTTTTATATTATTATTATTTTTAACTCTTTCTTCCTTGGTGATTTTTTTCTACTTTAACGGGCTTTCTAAGCGACCATTTAACGAGTTTTAGGCCAATAGATCCCAACCCAATTGGGCTTAGGTCATTAAGTACGAAAATACTCCTTGGGCTTAATTACTCGATCAGCTTAGGCTTTATAAGTTAGAATCACCTTGAATTTAAGAGTTTTTTTCTTTTTCTTTTTTTTTCTTTTTTTTTCTTTTGGTGCCCATTTTTCGCACTCTTCTTTTTGCAATTTTTTTTATATGTATATGTGTATATATTCTGAAAAATATGTAAGTCAAGCCACTTTGAAAAATTATTTTTAACTCTAAGCTAAGCATGTATTCCATTATTTTAAATAAAAATCTAAGTTGAGGCTTAAATAAAGTATACTACTTTGAAAATCATTTCTTAAGAACTTTATTTAGAGTTATCATAAAAAGTGAACTTGAGTAAATAACAGATTAGAAAATTTATCAAATAAATTAATTATTACATAACTCTATCAATTTGGCAAGTGACGATATTTTTATAATTTTTTTTTTGAAAAAGGAAAAAAAATTGACAAAAATGCAACAAAAAAATATAAAACAAAGAGAAAAAAAACTA